CCCACGGAATATTCCGTATTCTCCAACACCACAACTCAATTCTTCTTCTGTCATCCTTATTTACTGTACAGCTTTCAGATGCATATCAAATAATTGAAAAGAACATGGCCTGAATCAGGCACACTTTAGTCTTCAAACTGACATCACTGCTCTTCAGTATTTTGGATAGATCCCTGACAGTGGACTTACCCAAAGCAATATGTCTCCTTATCTCCTGATTGCTGCTACCAAGGGTGTTGATCGTGGATCCCAGCAAGATGAAATTATTATGGTTTCAATCTTTTTGCCAATGATCATGATGTTGTTCACTGGCACAGTGGTAAGTACCTTTTGTCTTGATGTTAAGATGCAATCCAAATTGCAGTAAGTACTGCAGGTCCCGCTCACTTTCAGTAAGCAAGATTGAGTCATCTGCATAGTGCAGGTTGTTGATGAAACTTCTTCCAATCCTGATGCCACATTCTTATTCAGAACCCAGCTTCATGAATTATTTGCTAAGCATACAGATTTAATAGGTATAGAGAAAACATACAACTCTGATACACACCCTTTCCAGTTTTAAACCGTACAGTGTTTCATTATCCTATTCAGAAAACCGTTTCTAGGTCTAGATATAGACTTTGCATGAGCACAATAAAGTGTTCTGTGATTCCCTTTCTTCTCAATGTTAGCCATAATTTGTTGTGATCTACACAGTCAGATGCCTTTGTATAGTCAATGAACACAGATAGATATTCTTTACTTTCAGCCAGGATCCATCTGACGTCAGCAATGGTGTCCCTAGTGCTATCACCTTTTCTAAATCCAGCTTGAACTTCTGGCAGTTCCCTCTCAAGGTACTGTTCTAGTAATTTTTGGATGCTCGTTAGCAACATTTTGCTTGTATGTGATACTAATGACATTGATAATTTCCACAGTTAGATCACCTTTTTTGGGAATAGGAATAAATATGACTTTTTTTCAGTTAATTGGCCAGTCAGCTATCCCCCAAATCTCCTGACAAAGGCTCGAGAGCGTGTCCAGGGTTGCATTTGTTAGTTGAAAAATGTCAATCAGTATCTCATGTATTCCTGGGGTCTTATTTTTTGCCAGTGTCTTCAGCACAACTTGAACTTCTTCCTTTGTTACCATTTGCTCTTGAGGGTTTAAAAGCAACAGCCACTACATTGGAGAAATATTTGGCCATCTCCTCTTGTAAACATTATAGCCTTGGCAACTCCATGAGGCAGTCATATTCTATTCTAAAGAGTTATGAGGTCCATGGCTATGCTGTTGTTAGGTGCTGTCGATTTGCCTGCAACTCATGGCAACCCTACCCTAAACCATCCTTACAATCTGTGCTATACTCAAGTCCATTGTTGTTGTCATTGTGTCACTCCATCTACTTGAGGATCTTCTTCTCTTTCTCTGCCTCTTTACTTCTAATAGCATTATGTCTTTTACCAAAGGCTGGTCTCCTGACAACATGCCCAAAGCACATAAGGCAAAGTTTCACATCCTTGCTTCTAAAGATCACTGAGTACACTTCCTTTAAGACAGACTTTTGTTCTTTTGGCAATCCATGGGATATTCAATACTCTTCTCCCACACCACCGTTTAAAGGTCTCAATCTTCTTCTGTCTTCCTTATTAATTGTCCAGCTTTCAAATGCATTAAAAGTAATTGAAACTACTACATATTGGCCTATACACCAAAATCCTTGCTTTTTACCACTTTAAAGAGATCTTTGATAGCAGATTTTCCCAGTGCAACATGTTTTTCCAAATGCAAAACCTGGCCATAGGTTTACTGAATAGAACATATTGATCCTAAGTGTGTATTCTGAGATACTATCAATGGAATTTATATTCAATTTAGGATAACATAGTAAAATTCAGTCTTACTATTATGGTTCAGGGACAAAATTTCAAGTGTCATAGCTATGATGACCACCTTAGTACACTATTAATGGGCAGATAACTATTATTTTTTCTCTCACATTTCCTCCTTGGCTTGTACGACTTACGGAGGCTTTTTATAAAACACTGTTGTTGTTTTCTTTGGTTTTTTTCTTTTTTTTTGTGGAAAGAAGTAGGACTAAGTAAAAGGGGGAAACATATACATGAAAATGGAACTTCAAAATTCTTTAAATTATATCTGCATAATTAAGTACATAATGTGGAAAACGTTTGTTGCAAACTTGCATTATTTTAAAGCTCTTATCATTCTGTGATTTGAGTACTATGCCTTGGGGAAATGTGATGTGTGCTGGAAGGTATATTTTGTTTTCTCAGTAGTTTTCAAGTATAAAACTAAATGAGACAACAGAAACAAAGCTATTACATGATTAGACAATACTAAAATAACCTATCTCTTACGCAACCAGTAATGTTCTTTCCCTTACTATTAATATCTATAATTATCTATGAAGTAACTTTTCCCAGGATGAAAGCACACAAGGTTATTGTATCTGGAAATTTCCTTCCTGGAGGGCCTAGGGGACTCTTCTCTGCACCCTCCATGAGTCCTCTGTGTCTTTGGTCCTGTATAGGTTGGTTCCATTTGCACCCTCCTAGTCAATTTGCTAGTGTTAAAAAAAAAAATCAACAAATGACTGATTCACTACTTTTTTAAAAGCCCAAATCCACTGCCATTCAATTGATTCTCATTTGTGGTAACCCTTTGTAGGTATTCCAAGGTCCTGTATTCATGGGAGAAGACCATGTTTTCCCTGTGGAGTGAATGATGGTATTTAATCCTTCAGTTAGCAGTTCACCATATTAGAGCACTGATGTCTTCTTCATTTTCAACTTTTTTTTCCCCTTAAAAATTACACAAGCTTTAATTCATTAACAACAATTTCATCCCATGGGCACTAATTTTGTCAGAAAAAAGAGTTAACAGAATACATTATTCGAAATCTCTCAGTATTTCGTCCTGGAGTTCAGAGGATTATCTCAAGTGTTTAGGTAGTTCCGTTAGTGTAAGCCTTATTTTATTCAGAAACTTCTGGAGTTTGGGAAATATATAGATTAACTTTGAATGAATTTTATTCTAAGCTTTAAATACCAACTTTTCAGAACTATCTTCCCCATTCTCTTACCTTTATTTCATGGTACAAATATATATTTTTTAAAAAACTGTAAATATAAATATGTACCAATTATATATTTTCTGCCCATTTTATTTTTATTTTATATTAGTTTGCATACAAAATCCATATATATTGCATATCATTCATGTACATTTATTTCACACATCCCTACAGTCACACATATTTCTAAAAACCTTGTAACATTGAAACTCAGAATATTGACCATTGACAAATTTTCAGATAATCGTTTCTCCCTGTTTTGTATTTGGGCTTGTTGCTAGGAGAGGCTATTCCTTGGAAAAGGACATTATACTTGGAAAGCGTGGGCAAAAGACAGGAAGGCCTTCAACCAGCTGGATTGACTCAGTGACTGCAGCCGTGACTGGGCTTGAGTATGTTAGAGATGATAAAGTGGCACAGAATAGGAGAGGGTTCAGAGCTGTTGTTCTCAGAGTCCCTGTCTTACTTCACTTGAGGGCACCTAACATTTGTAGTTTAGACTCTATCTAAGATTCAGTGGGGATTTGTACCTCTTAAAAGAAAATGAAATTTTACATGTGTGCCTAGCTTTGTATGGTTAAAATCCACCAGCTGCTCCGTGGGAAAAAGCTGGGCAATCAATCTCCTCCTGTGTTGTTTACAGCCTCTAAAAAGCCGCTGGAGGGTCAGGTTCCCACTCAACGGCAATGAGTTTGTTGTGGGTTGTTTTTTTTTTCTTTTCAGAATTTCATAAAATTCTCAATTATTTTTATCCCTCTTTCCAACTACATACCCGTCCCTTTTTGACAATATGTATTTTTCTGAGGATTACATCTCATAATTCTTGAGGGGTGGATGGTTGTGTGATTGCTGAAGATTTTTAAGACTAACTTGACTTAAAACGACCAATTTTAGCGGCCCCCAACCCATTTGGTTAAATTCCACAATTCTTTCCTCCTTCCATAGCTAGGCATTAAAATCAGCCTTTTTATCAAAATACTTAATAATTAGTGATACACGTTAAATATTTGTACATTAATGCCTTTTCTAGGCTTCTCAACATTGGTTTCAGTTCTTAATCTGTTGGTTACGAAGAAAATTGAGCCTTAACTCCTGATCCTCTGACTGACGTCTTTTCTAAATGGCGTCTTGTTTCGAGGCGCTTGTCGGAAATTTTGACGAACTCTGCCCTATAGTTCTTGGTCAAAGCTATCTGGGCTGGAAGTCAGGGCTGTGGAGGAGGTCCCTGCAGGGCCCGTCACTAGTTACCCTTAGCTACCCTCCATGATGAGCTTAAAATTTCGGCCGCCTGGCCTGCAGAAAAGAGGTATAATGACTTGGTTTCCAAAAGCAGCGCTGGCCACAAAGCAGGTACGCTCGTCACCTTCTCTAAGACACTGCTGGACTCCGACAGATGGAGGTGCAAAGCCACAAAAGTCAGTAAGGGGTCGATGAGTGAAGGTAAATTGCTTACTACCCTCTCCTTGGAGTGGGTGTGGGAAGCCGAAGGCTTCTGCAATCTAGAATTCTAGGCGGAGTCTCCGCATCACGCGCGCTGCAGCCTCTTAGAGCTACTGACAGCTCCAAACACAAAGGTGCATGCCCTCCCCCACTGCTCCAGCCACCCCCACATCCCCACCCTCCGCTACGAGTACGCCCCGCCCCGTGCGCTGCCACGTGACACAATTCACCCATCCGCCTATGGGCATCAGCTCCGCCCCACGCCCCCACCTTGCCCCGGCCCCGCGCGCTGCCACGTGATGAGGCTCACCGCCAACCAATGAGCTCTGGCTTTGGCTGGCGCCCCGCCCAGCGCGCCGTGGCTGTTTGAAGTGACTAATTTCTGTCATATGACTGAGGAGCCCATGGGGGTGGCGGGGCGGCTGTAGGAGCGGGGGCCTAGCAAACGCCCTGTGGAGCGACCCCAGCTTGTCGGTGGCCAACCACTATGGCCCCCACGCTTTTCCAGAAGCTCTTCAGCAAGAGGAGTGGACTGGGCTCATCCGGCCGGGACACCCGCGACCCGGATTGCGCTTTCAGGTAGGGTGCTGCTAGCCAGTCAGGCTGGGGGCACGGGACTGGTGGCCTTGTGAGCTCCAGGTTCCAGAGGCGCTGGGGCCTTTGGACCCCAGGCCCGAGAATCGGCACCTGTCTGGGACCAGAACCTGTAGTCGGAAGGGGCTCTCAAGGGTTGCAGCGAGGTCCTTTACCCCCCGTTTGTCGCCCCTTCCCCCTCCTCCTGGCGGGTTTGTTTACGTCTCGCGGGGCAGCCACGCGCGGTTGCTTGTGCTCCTCCGGATCGAGCATCGCGGCCTGAGGTGTTAGGTCCACGCACCTTCTTGGTGGCCAGGCGCAGGCTGGATTGGACCTCAGCCGTTGTCCTTCGGTCAGAGAAGTTCTTGCCTCCTCCTCGTGACCATTCTCTTCTCGGGTGCTCGGGTCCAGCGTGCTTGATGTAGTGGAAGGAGCAACAGTTTTGCTTAACCTTCTGAGTGTAGAGAAGGCTGGAGAAGCGAGGAGGGAAAGGGGTCGTGTTTTCAAATTTCGTGGAAGCTAAAATTGGAGGCGTGCTGTTACCGCGCTGAGCGACCTTAGTGTTAACAGAGGAGAAATGTGAAACCCAAGAGGTTAAAGTTACTCCTGACTGAACTGGGCCATAATAACCATGGCCATAGTATTGGTCATAGAATCTACTCTTTTGAACTGCAACTAAAGAAAGTATTGTTTTAAAAATGGAGAATGACAGAATATTTGCGACATTACAGACTGTCAATTTTTGGTTATGATACCTGTTGCTGGTAGATAACGTTTTAGAATTGTAAGGCTTGAAACAAACTGAGGAGAAAATTGTAGAGCTAACAGTCTTGTTGCGATGTGGAAACTTAACTAGACTAAATATCAAGTATCAATTAAACATGGTAGGAAAGCAGAGAAGGAAGTCATAGGAAGAAAAAGAAAAAATTGTTAAATTTTCCAACAGTAAATGAGATAATTATACTACCCTTACTCCATTGTAGCCCTTATTGGTAAACATTTGTAAATACATATGAAATTGAAAATAGAAATATTAGAGTTTTAGAAGTGGAGAAATCTAAATTGTGAATATCTTGAAAAGGTGCTTAGTAAATGCGGTTCTCTAGGTCTTATCTTTTACTACTGGGAAATGTATTGCTATGCTTAGCTGATTACTTTCTTTAAAGGTTTCCTTTGTGCTTTTCTTTTGAAAGATGAAAGTGAATTCTAAATAATATTATATTGAGGCATAC